TGGATTACAGATCCTGAGAAGACATTCTTTCACAAGGAGTCTATTTTTCAGTTCTTAAATTCACTGGGAACGGTTTTAACTTAAGCCAAAATAAGCAGTTATTGCTAGAAGCTTTGGGGTGAACAACATTAGCTGGGATTCGAGATAAATTCTTCACATTTTTTTAAACACATAATCAAGCAGAGTCTGAAATAAGTGCTAATAAGCATTTTGCAAAATTTAGGACAAGGCTGAAGTGTTTTTTTATCTTGCTTACTCTAATTTATTCTACAATATATTAACCACAGGTATTTATGTGATAACTGCATATCAGCATACCACTTATAGTCTCCACTGATAGGACTAGAGGAAATGGCCGGAAACACAGGTATTTATCCCTAAGCAGTATATCAGCATATGATTCTATGATTCTAAAGCGGTTATCCTCACTAAACTCAGACCGTCAGAACATGTTGTGGGCTGAACTTGAGCACAGAGAGAGGACACGGTCCAAATCAAAAGAGGGGAAAAAAGGTCAGTGTGTTTGTGTCACGTAATGGAGCAGCACACACAGGGCCCACTTCATGCAGTCCCTTCCTCTGCCTTTTGTTGGATTCCTCAGTAAATACTCAAATACAGAGCCCTGGGATACAGCTAGGTTAAGACACAGACTGTGCTGTGACAGGAGTTTAAAAAAAAAAAAAAAAAAAAAAAGCAGACCCCTGCTGCTGCCTTCACTTCATGTCTCCGTTAGCCTCTGTGTTTAGGAATGACATTGCTTGTAAGTTATACGGCTGCAGAGTGTAATTACCAGTGGACAGCTACCAGTTCTGTTCCTCCTGCACATGGCACCTGGAAAACTCACAGGAAGGAGCATGCGCCCTGTGGCACATGCACAGACCAAGGTGGAAGGCTCTGAGTCCCCATATGCCACCAAACACAGCGCTGCACCTTAGGAGTGCGACCAGGGAACAAACTTAGCAGATAGGACACTTCAGCAGACATAGGGCATAGGCACTGCCGATCAGTGCAAACCTGACACCATGGTATTAGCCATATCACAAATCTCTTCATTATTGCTCAGGTTCCTTCTTAAAATACTTGAAAAGAACACACAGTGGCAAAGCCCAAGCATAAGAGGCCTTTTTATTCATAAAAAAAATCTTGTTTAATTAAGTGGCCTTCGGGATATCCTGTTTTAATACCAGAAGTATGAAAGCTAATTCGAAAAAAAGGAAAGAAAAAGCACAAGAATCAGAAGTAGCTCTATCTTTTCTCCACAGTGAACTTAGAAATATAGAAAATTTGAGGAAGCTAAACTTATCCAGGAAAATATAAGAGTGGTTTTAAACTGCATCTGTCAAAGCTGTGACAGCACATGGTCAAAGTCACATGAATGAGTTAGTATTTGATCTGGCAGTCTAATACATCGTGTTTTTAGAAAGACACAGATACATAATCCCATAACTAGAAGCAAAGTTACACTTGCTAGGACTTGTAAGTTTATCTCTAGTGAAATCAGGGCAGTGCCTTGAATTTTGGAAGCCTGGTTTTGAGGACTTGTTTCAATTTTGCTTGCTTGCTTCTTTTTTGCTTGTATACGGCTGCCACAGAAGTGCTGCCTGCTCCTTATATAAAGTCATGGACTTCAGCACTTCACTTTTCAGTCCATAGTTTAAAGGTGAATTTCTCATACACACAGCTTTCTCCTCCATGGCTTTTCCACCCCCAAGCAGGTTCTACTACTCACGTGGCTTCCTGCCACTAGTAATAATAATACCTAATTTTTAAATTTTGACCCGTGTGTTTATTTATATCACAGCCTTCTTCAGGTGATGTGGACCTCACTGTTGGGAATACGCAGGGGCTACCAGTACTGGAGAAGTCATTTGGTATCCGGCTTGCAAGTTACCTTACCAGAAACGTCTCCAGCTCTCTGGATGAGTGATCGAGTTTGTCGGGAATTGCTTGTTACTCCCCTCCTGGAAACCCCGCGCTTGCACAGTGCCTTGTTCTGCCTTGTCCTCACTTACAGGCACCAGGTGTTGACCCGGCACCTAGCGGCACCCCCGAGGGCGGTCCCGTCCCCTGGCCACCCGCGGGACAGCGACCCTTCCTCCCCCTGATGGTGTTACCCGCAGGACCAACCCACGCAGCCACGGGCGCGGGGTGACTAAGCGCAGTTGGGCTCAAACTCTGGGCGCTTCTGCTCGGTGTTTCCCCGCCGCCGCTGCTGACAAGCGCGGCGGGGGGAACCCAAACGTCCTTTCCGCCCCGCGGTACCTTCCTGAGGGCAGCCCGCAGGGCGCTGTGCTGCTCCGTGCCGGCCAC